CGGGGTTGTTAGTTTAGTGGATGTGTGTGTACTTGGGTACCCGTTTGGTGGTTGAGGTATGCAGACAAAGTCACGTGAGAGGTCAGCCGATCTTTGATTGGTTAGCTAAGACGTGGCCGTGAGATGTAAGCGGGCACGTGTGCGTGTGTGTGTGTGTGTGGGGGGGGGGGGGGGGTGGATGAGGTAGAAAAACCCCAGGGGAACATTTTCAGGAAACAGTTTTAGGAAATAGATGTGACTAAAATACAAGAGTACAAACAAACACATTTCAACAGCTGATGTTAAGCAGTGATCTTACTTGGACACAGTGGCGTAGGCATGGGGGGGGGGGGGTTAGGGGGGGTCATAACCCCCCCATAGACCCCTCGGTATATATATAAAAGTATGAGGGGGGTGCAAATCGAAAGTTTGTCCCCGGGTAAAAATTGGAACCCCTCCCCCCCCCCCCCCCTTGAGACGATCCTGGCTACGCCACTGCTTGGACATAAGATGTTGAGTGTACATGTGGTGTTGATGGAGTGGAAGAATCTCAGGGTTTAATACTAGTTCCATTCGTGGCGTCACTAGGGAGCGTGAAAATTAGTATAGCGCCTGGGGATGGCACCCCACTTGTAAAAAAAGAAAAGTGTAAAACAGCGTAACTATCATACTACATTTCTCATTAGTAACTAATATAATTCGCATGTTGTAATTAATAAAAACTGTAATTACACGTGATCCTCAGCCGTTACCTTAAAAAGCTTTGTATCATTTTCTAAGATGCCCCATCACCCCCCCCCCCCCCCCCACACACACACCCTTGTAATAACATATCAACCATGTACATGGTGGCGGTCACGGTACTAGTCAGGTGAGCTGGTGTTCACATTTAATGTTTACAAACACACTAGGATGACGTTTCTAAAGGCGGGTCTGGTTGGTGAATATTTTAGATTTCTTTTTATTTTTTATTTATTTTTAATTTAATTATATATTTTATTTTGCCGAGTGGCCTTTTTTAAAATGGCTTTTTCTAAATACCCATTTTGGCGTCATTTGATTTTCGAATGGCCTTTTACAGTTGCCTTATTACTTGAAGTTATGGGGAGGCGCGGTCAAATGTTAGAGCGTTTGGTTGCTAGCCATAAGGTTTCGAGTTCGGACTTGTGACTGTAGGACGTCCCTGAATCCACCATGCTCGGATGGGAACCTGACTTACGTTGGGGAACGTAAGGGCGGGGTATAGTGCTGACCACACCATCCCTTCATATGCCCAAGTTAAGAAACATATAAACTCTACTCTATCTGCTCCATTTATCACTAGTTATAAAGAATCTTTACTTTATTACCTGAAGCTATACACTACGTTAAAGCTGGAGTTATGCTTAGAATGTGTACATCAATGTTTACCTTTTATCATGCCCACTGTTATACCTGTATCTATGAACACAATTGACTGTTTGTTGTAGCCTTGTATGCTCACTCTATTTATTCATGTATTGTAAGTTACGTTCAGTAATTTGCTACGTGGATCTTCTTTTTTCTTCTTCTTCGTTCTTAATTGAGATTGTGGTGGAGGATTAAGACAACAAGTCCAACTTCGTGAACAAACCGGACTGTGGTCTCCAGTTTGGCAGGTGCCCCATATAATTTTTACGTGGATAAATAAGGCAAAAATTAATCAAACTCTGAATGAAACAATTGAACCACTATCGAAAACTTCACAATCAGTCTATCAGTGCGTTATGGCATGTGGTGATGTAATCAGTCAATCACAAGGACAAGTTCGATAGTGTTTGACGTCATATACAGGGTCGTATCAGATATCGATGATATCGATTGGGTTCAAAGTATTGACTGACTCAAACAGTAATTAATAACTCGAGTAAAACACTGATTAGAAGATAAGAGATTATAATTATAACTTTTTAGTTAATTAAAAAAGTAAATGGTGTTTACGTCAAATATTTACTAACGAGCCGGCCCGCGGCATAACATACGCCGCTATTGAGTTGTTGTTTTTTCTACTTTTCAGTAATTCATAGTTTGTGAATTCGATAGTACCAACGCTGCCACTGAAAATATTTCTTTAAAACACTATAAGTAGCTCGTTAAGGACCATAACCCGCCCCTCCCCCCCCCCCCCCCTACGTTTAAAATCGTTTTAAACTAAATTATCTGCCCCTAATAGCCGTCACAAAACCCGGCTCTGCTTGTAAACATTTAGAGTGAACACAGCTCACTAAGACCATGTAGGGGTGGGGAGGTAGGGAGCGCGTTTACAGCTTGCTTTCTAGCGTCTCCCAGAAGAGAATTATATATATAGATATTTAAGACTATGTAACTTAATAAAGGGAAGAAACTACTCACGCAGAGTGATCTTATTAGGGAATATTATGTTTTATTGATGTACTGAGCTCATTTAAATCCCCATCAATGGGGATCAGTTCCGAGAAATTTAGGTTTAAAGTTAGGTCAAGGCCATGACCTTGTATTATGTGGCCAGCTGATATTTGATTGGTCCGGTCAGGTAAGGTCACAAACGTTAGTGACGGGGTGATATGTAAATAAAGTGTAGGTCAGCTGGTCTGATCCATCTGATTTTCATCGTGTTTTATTGAATGGCTCTTCTTAATGACCTTTTCAAAAAGACTTTGACATTTATAAAATGTTATTTGGGTGCTTATGTGTATGGACTTTAGAGTTACCTTAATAAAAAAAAAAGAATTTGTGAATTGATCATATTATGTTACTAATGAAAAAAAAAACCCAACATATTTGTTATTTTCCTGGATAGGTTATTTGTCCAATAAAGAATAACATTTTTAAACGTTTTTAAAATGCAATTATATTCTCTGTATTAATTCTATTTTATATTGGGGAAGGGGCATGTGATAGGGCTGCCACCGCTCCCCTGAAGGTCTGCTCTTGTTTTGGAATCTAAGAAAAATGACTTACATCTCGATCGCAAGAGAGCTTGACATATATCATCTATCTATAACCCTTATGTTCTGTTTTAAAATTAGTGTTTACAGTTAAAAATATTTAAAAGAATATTTAATATATTTAAAACAATGTTTCGAGTTAACAGATTTTCAAAAAGTTCTCTGATTTAATATACTCAAGTGCTACAACCTCCTCCTCACCCACCCTCACCTACCAACCTTTAACAGCTGGCTGTGGGGAAATGAAAAGCTCACGATAGATTTACCTCCCTTTCTCCGACCTTGTTTACAACGAAAGAAAAGGATCGATGGGCGTGTATATTTTTAGTAACAACCAAGGGAAAGAACTCTAATCAGACGAAAATGTAAACATTGAGCAGAAAATTAAGGCTCACGTTGTGCTGCGGAGGGAAAGTAGGCCACGATTTTGGAAATAAACAGCATCTTGAGGATAATCACGTGACACGTGTCAAGGTCAGACCATAACCTGAGACAACGACAGCCTTACTTTCTTCAGTACGATATTTATCGTGCTTGTGCATGTGTGTGTATATCAGGGGTCTCCAAACTTTTCAGCCCGAGGGCCGCATTAACTGTCAAATTTCAGTTCGGGGGCCAGTTTCTTCCAGGCATGTTGTGATTTGTCTGAGCAAAGTTCCTCAGCCATCACCAACAAAGTTTTTTCCGTGGACAAAAAGATCTCCGCGGGCCGGATGAGAGGACCTCGCGGGCCGCATCCGGCCCGCGGGCCGTAGTTTGGAGACCCCTGTCTTAAAGCAATAACAAAGCTGATTTTAATAGTGAAAACTAATTCCTGACTAATTCGAGTTTAATCGTTAACGTATACAGAGAGTGATTCTGTGATATTTCGAATTCTTAATTATAACAATCATACAATGTAGTTTGCTATTTAAAACAAAATAGTTGTTAAAGTTGGAACCGAAGCGTAAATGGTGATGGATTGGATACCAATTGCGCAAACCAACAAACACAATCATCAGAGGGGTTAGATTGGAACGTAAGGGGGGAATATCTAGGCCTAAGGAAACTATAAAAATATCAGTTGTCAGAAAAGCCAAGGCAGCCTGATTATCGTGGACGGAACTTGAAGGAATCGCCAAATTGTGTTCGATGGAGAGGTGTGGTATGCTCTACACCAGGGGTCTCCAAACTTTTCAGCCCGAGGGCCGCATTAACTATTACATATCAGTTCGGGGGCCAGAATTTCTTTAAGGCATCTCTTCAGGGTCGTGGCGCCCCCCCACCCCCCCCCCACCCCGGAATAACGTCTACCACCCCTCCACCTATGAAATATAATTTATATAAAAATATATATATATACAAATATCAAGTGTCCACCCCCCCACCCCCACTCGAGGTCCACGTTTGCTCTCAAATTGTTCTTCGCGTATTTCATTTTTGAAAATGTTTGTTCACACACGTATGATGTTCGAAAATTTGAAAGATACTTTGATGCAAAAGTTTAATAGTTTTTAACCCATCCGCCCTTCTTTGAACGTGTCTCTAAGGAAGTCATGTTCTTGCAATTCAATGACTTCCAGCTGCAGTTCATCTTTGCAACTGGCCACATTTGCTTCAAATGGGTTTTGAAACAGTCTCACTTCTTCTGCCTTTGAATCCAAGTCAGAAAACCGCTACTGAAACTGCAGCTGGAGGTCTTTAATGATCTCGTATGTAAATGACGTGGGGAACTAAGTGGTTGCTTCAGCCGTAAAGACCTTGCACTGTTGAAAGTGTGTAAAGTTGTTAGCCTGTACTTGTTCCAAAAACAAGACAAGTTTGTATCTGAAGGCCTTTAGGTGGGTGTATAGATCAGAAACTAGATTTCACTCTCTCTTGCCGTTTTAGGTTCAAAAAATTTAAATGACTAGTTATGTCTGCAGCAGAGGCTAATTTCTATACCCACTCTTCATCAGACAATAATGGCTGTGACTTGCCTTTACTATCAGGAAGGACCTATTTCTTATCTTATATACTCTGCTGATAATTTTCTCGCAAAATTAGCAATCTTACTGATGTGAAATATGGTAAATCTTGCGATTTTGTGTTTGTTTCTCAACTGTCTATATCCTCTTCGGTAAACGTGTCATACATTATATGTAGGGAAGCCATCTCTGTTGTTATGTTCATGTCTTCGTCCACATTTCTAATGAACACAAACAGTTGAGAGGTGGAACAGCTGCCCAACGACTCATCCATTGCAATTGAAAAATTGCGAAACTGGCTTGCATTTTTCGCTATTTGAATCACAATGTTTTCACCAATGTCTGCAACACGGCGAGTAATTGTATTTGCACACAAAGCTACATTTTCAAATAGTTTTGAATTTTTTGTGCAAAGCTCCTCAGCCACCTCCAACAAACATTTATTCAGTGGACAAAAAGATCGTCGCGGGCCGGATAAAATGACCTCGCGGGCCGCATCCGGCCCGCGGGCCGTAGTTTGGAGACCCCTGGTGTATATGAATGTGTGTGTGTGTGTGTGTGAGTGATAGAGAGTGAAAATTGGAGATAGGGGGGGGGGGGGGGTAGGGAGAGGGTGGAGCGTCTAGAAAGTAGGTAAATTGTATGACACAAGCTATAATAGTATGATTGTATGTGTGTGTGTGTGTGTTAACGTGTGTGTGTGTTTGTGTTAACGTGTGTGTAAAGACGGAAAAGAGAAAGAGAGGAGCTACTCGAAAATATGTAAGATATGTGACTGTGTATATGTAAAATATGTGACACAGTATATGTAAGCTGTGTGACGCAGTATATGTAAGATATGTTACACAGTATATGTAAGCTTACATATACTGTGTCACACAGCTTACATATACTGTGTAACTTATCTTACACATACTCAGTCACACAGCTTACATATACTGTCACACAGCTTACACAGGGGCGGAACTACAGTGCCGCCAGACCCCGCAATGCGGGGGGGGGGGGGCCCACGCCATTTAGGGGCCCACGGCTGACCATAAAAAAAATTGTTATAGTTAAAAAAAAATTCTTGCATTTTTGACTTAATGTTTGTTTTGTAAACAAGATTACCGTAGCTGCGGTTGGATTATCTTTATTCTATATACACCACCCCACGTTCATTTTTCCTTCGTTTTTAAACCACTGTGAAAGCCGAGTCCTCTTTCTCCTACAATCAAACTTCTCAAAGATAAGCAAACGTTTAAACAACTTCCATGACTTATTTCCCTTTTTTAAATAATCAAATAGTGATACTCATAAGCCTCTTTTTAATCGATTTGTACTAAACAAATTAAAAAGCAATTACTTCTCTTTGTTATTATTTGTTTATAAATTACTTACTAAAGAATGACACTGTATAAAAAGAAAATGTATTTAAAATTAATAAAACAAATACAAAAAAACATAAAAAATAAACATGACACGAGACACCATTATTTACAGAAAGCTTTCATGTTTTATATTCTTTTGACCGATATGTTGATAAAGGACTTACGACAGACATAATAAATAACTGCTTTTCACAAAACAGACTAATGCACTTACACACATGACATGATGTTGTAATTTGTTTTAATTAACAAAAACCCACGTATTTCTCAAAACACGAACAGGCCAGCAATAAGTATCCTATGTTCGTATTTTGTGTTTGAGTATATATATATATATATATATATATATATATATATATATATATATATATATATATATATATATATATATATATATATATATATATATATATACATATATAGGCCTATATATTTGTATGGATGGGGGGACCTAAAAAATTTTTTTGCGGGGTGGCCCCTTTTTTCTAGTTCCGCCACTGAGCTTACATATACTGTGTAACATATCTTACATATACTCAGGCACACAGCTTACATATACTGTGTGTGACACAGTATATGTAAGCTGTGTGACAGTATATGTAAGCTGTGTGACTGAGTATATGTAAGCTGTGTGACTGAGTATATGTAAGCTGTGTGACTGAGTATATGTAAGCTGTGTGACACAGTATATGTAAGCTGTGTGACACAGTATATGTAAGCTGTTTGACACAGTATATGTAAGCTGTGTGACTGAGTATATGTGAGATATGTGACAGTATATGTAAGATATGTGACATAGTATATGTAAGATATGTGACAGAGTATATGCAAGCTGCGAGACGTATACTAAAAAAAAAATTAAGACTGCTGGCATGAGTTAGTATGATGTACGTACATATTTCACCGACGGTTCAATGTGCAGAAATGTGCGTGTTTATTGGATAATGTGCAGACAAGTGTTTCCAATGGTAACACGTAAACACACATGCCAATAAAATCTGAAAAGTACAAACTCCATTTCCTTTTTTAGCTTATTGAGTCAAACACATACATTTAGAGTCCTCTGTTCGAACATAACATACATGCCAAACGGAGTATATGCGTGTTTTTTTTTAATTTGCCATGCCTCACCATGACTGTGGACGTCTGTCTGACGTTTCTTTTTATTTCAATCTCTCTACCATATGGAGATAAGCCAGAACCTAATCCATACCATAACCCTAAGTGTAGCTAAGTTAAACCAACCCTTTCATCGATCAGTATAAATTGTTTTGAGTTATCGAATGTTGATACTAACGTGCGTCATAGTTTTTGATGTTTTGAAACCAATTTCTTTTTTTTTCAGTTCAAGGGAAATAACTTCGTTATATACAGAGTATTTAAATAAAAACGGTTGTTTCCCTTTATTTGTAAATCTGACATTCTGAGCTGGCTGATCTTTTCCCATATGTGACCAGAAAGATGCGCAACGAAAAAAGAAAAAAAATATTCCCAGTGTCAAACTACGTAGGATGTTTTTTTCCCATACAGAATAACGGATATACCTTATCAATTTATTAAATTAAGATTACGCACTATTATATAATTTTAAAAGTATAATTTATGTTTGGTCACTGTTTATAAATATTTTTTTGCTATTAATACGGGATTCATTTAAATTTTTTCCTTCGGGATAAAGACATGCATCAACTACGATACGAGTAGTACAAAAATTAGCTTCAAATACACATTTAGGTATCATGGGAGGCAATCCTAATCGGAGGTTCAAATAGTAATTTCATTTTTACTTCCCTTCTTCCGCTAAAATGTGGTGGCAAAAAAAAATTTAGTTAATTAAAACTAAATGAATTAAAAAAAAAATGACTTACGTTGATACCAGCTTAGTCCTAGTATTTTAATTAATTAATACACATTCACATAAAAAAAATAAATCACAAAACTTGTTACTCCTCATAAACGTGAGATTTTGCTCCCACCTCCCTTAAAGACAATATAATGAACGAAAATAAGACACGGTCAATCGCCCTTACATTAAATCAATCAGGGATTCGAACAGAAACATACAGCGGTTTTGTAGCGGTTTTTAATATATATTATATCTGATGCTTCTCTTAAAAATGTGATTGGACTAATAGATTTACGCCATTTATCAATTAATTATTAGAATAGCTTTTTCTCACACAAGCTATTAAAGCCTTGATATCAATTATTTGCAAAAAAATCCAAATGATGCTTTCAGTCATCGAATAAGACAATACGTTGACCGTAACATCGGACAATTGACCCGGACAATAGTTGACCGTAACATCGATGGCAAAGAGCTCACAACCGATGAAGTCTTTTGCTCGAAACCTCATGTAGACCTACTCACCAAATGAGTTGCCTCACACAACGTAAAAATATTATACGACAGCATTTTTTTTTACGAACTTTGATACAGTTGATGAAAAAATACAAATTTCAATATTGAACACGATCGGGAAAATGGGAAGGTATTGTCGAATGGTAGAGCATACGACTGCTAACTCGAAAGTCTTATAATCCGGCTTCAAGTCCGTAGAAACTACCCAAGTCCACCCAGCTCTGATGGGTACCTGACTTACGTTGGGAAAAATAATGCCAGCTGGCCATCAGAGGCGTAACGACCCTTCCCGGGGACAAACTTTCAATTTGGCGCCCCCCCCCCTCGGGAACAACCTTTCAATTTTCAATTTGCCCCCCTCCACAAACTTTCCATTTGTACCCCCCTCCTCAAACTTTCAATTTGCACCCTCCCCTCAAACTTTCCATTTGCAACCCCCCCCCCCCCCATATATTTTTTATATTTATAATGCAAAACTGCAGCTAAAATGAGATTTTAATTTGTTTTTCCAACCCATTTTGGCGCCCCCTAAGGTTGGCGCCCGGGAACATATGTACCCCCCGCCCCCCAAGCTACGCCTCTGCTGGCCATAGTGTTGACTACACTATCCCTTCATATGCCGGGGTTATAGAAACAGGTGAACTCTACTTCACTTGCCCCATAGACCGTCAAGTTGGTTTTAGGGTAATTGAACCTACGATTATAAACAAAAGCACCAGGCCTTACATATGCAACAACAACGTTACAAACTTACAGCAAACTCCCAATACTTGCAGCAATACTTGCAGCAATACTTGCAGCAATACTTGCAGCAATACTTGCAGCAATACTTGCAGCAATACTTGCAGCAATACTTGCACCAATACTTGCACCAATACTTGCACCAATACTCGCATCAATACTTGCAGCAATACTTGCAGCAATACTTGCAGCAATACTTGCAGCAATACTTGCAGCAATACTTGCACCAATACTTGCACCAATACTTGCACCAATACTTGCACCAATACTTGCACCAATACTTGCAGCAATACTTGCAGCAATACTTGCACCAATATTGCACCAATACTTGCAGCAATACTTGCAGCAATACTTGCAGCAATACTTGCACCAATACTTGCACCAATACTTGCAGCAATACTTGCAGCAATACTTGCAGCAATACTTGCAGCAATACTTGCAGCAATACTTGCAGCAATACTTGCAGCAATACTTGCAGCAATACTTGCAGCAATACTTGCACCAATACTTGCACCAATACTTGCACCAATACTTGCACCAATACTTGCACCAATACTTGCACCAATACTTGCACCAATACTTGCACCAATACTTGCACCAATACTTGCATCAATACTTGCACTTTTACGTACACCAATACTTGCAGCAATACTTGCAGCAATACTTGCAGCAATACTTGCAGCAATACTTGCACCAATACTTGCACCAATACTTGCACCAATACTTGCACCAATACTTGCACCAATACTTGCAGCAATACTTGCACCAATACTTGCACCAATACTTGCACCAACACTTGCACCGATACTTGCACCAATACTTGCACCAATACTCGTTCAGACGTTGCAGTGTTGGTTTTCCTACGCGCGGGAAACATAAGATCGCATGTCGTCATTATTGGCTTGTATGACGTCGTTGCAGAAGATATATGACGTAAATGTCTGGGGAAACAAAAATCGATGAATGTTGTGTGGGTGGGGGGGGGGGGGGGTCAGACTTGCCAATCCAAATATCAGATAACGTAGAGTTTGTTTTATGTCAATGACCTCAGTAATAGGGGCGTCATCACTATGACACTACCGCCTTGACTTTTCCCCGACTCTAGCCAGGTACCCGTTATAACTGGGTGAACTCAGGGTCAAAGTGAGGACTCAAACTCCAGATCTAGACACTTACGGGTCTACCATTACGCCACCCACTGATAAGACCATTAGGTAAACCACCCACCCTCCTCACTAAATGGACATTCAAACAATTTTTTTTTCAAAATTTTTTTTCGAGAAAAAAAAACCAGTTAGTGGGTTGGGGATGGAGACTGAACATGGATAAGTTAACATTGTACAGGACACCTTGGCTGACTGTTATCTACTTGTTGCCAGAACCTTGTGTCCTTGTGGAAATTATAACAATGTGATATCTGTTATAGTTGTAAGAAAACTGTAGGGTCCCACTATAGAATTTAGGACCCGACTGCATGATTTGGGACCCACTACATGATTCGGGCCCCCACTACAGGAGTTGGGTCTCAATATATGATTTGGAGTCCCACTACTTGATTTGGGGCCCACTGCATGATTTTGGGACCCCACTACAATATTTGGGTCCCAATATATGATTTGGAGTCCCACTACTTGATTTGGGGCCCACTGCATGATATGGGCCCCACTACATAATTTGGGCCCCACTACATTATTTGGGCCCCACTACATTATTTGGGCCCCACTACATGATATGTGACCCCACTATATGATTTCGGGCCCCACTACACAAGTGAGGTTTCCACTATACGACTCACGACTCCACTATACGATTCACAACTCCACTATATGCCCGTATACACCCCACAACTGTCCACATTTTAGCGAATACGTCTCTGTATTCACTAGTAACAACACAGCAGTCAAATATAATGTAAATATTGTCCCAAACGAACGACTGCTAACCCGAAAGTCTCGAGTTCGGATCTCGGTCTTGAGACAGTAGAACGTCCTGAGTCCACCCAGCTCTTATGGGTACCTAACTCAGGTAAGTCAAACTATAGCTGCTGCACCACACTATTCCCCTGTATATCGAGATCATTGAAACAGATAAACTCTACTTCATCTGTCCCATGTACCCGCACGGGGAAAAGATAATTATCTCAAACAGACACAACAAAATAATTTAATAAAACATTTAATTATTTCCCTTTGAATGATCTTTTATAAAACTTTTAATTATTTCCCTTTAAATGATCTTTTATAAAACATTTAATTATTTCCCGTTGAATGATCTTTTATAAAACATTTAATTATTTCCCGTTGAATGATCTTTTATAAAACTTTTAATTATTTCCCTTTGAATGATCTTTTATAAAACATTTAATTATTTCCCGTTGAATGATCTTTTATAAAAAATTTAATTATTTCCCCTTGAATGATCTTTTACAAAACATTTAATTATTTCCCGTTGAATGATCTTTTATAAAACATTTAATTATTTCTCTTAGAATGATCTTTTATAAAACATTTAATTATTTCCCTTTGAATTTTTTTATAAAACATTTAATTATTTCCCGTTGAATGATCTTTTATAAAACATTTAATTATTTCCCTTTGAATGATCTTTTATATAACATTTAATTATTTCCCTTTGAATGATCTCGACACACCATTTTTATTTCTTTTGTCCAAGTATGCTTGTAAACTGCGCCAACTGCAGCATACCCCACCCCCGTCTGCCTCTCTCTCCACCCCCACCCCCACTTCCTCACCCCAGGCACCAAGACTGTCGCCCCACTCCAATTCTTTTTTTTCCCCTCCAAATACTCCAATCGTGTCTGTTTATAGACTTTTCTTCACCGAGTTACAGCCCCTTGCAGTCCCACTCAGTGGCGCTCGTGTGGTTCAGGTCACCCGTGACGTCATCGCGTGGCAGTGTGCCATAATTAATCGATCACCATAGAGAGAGAGGGGGGGGGTTAAACAAAAATAAATGGTGGCGTGGAGGGAAGGAGGGGAGGGGTGGGAGGGTGGTGGTCATTTCAAGTCTGGCGACATTGGGAAGTACAGGGGTGTTGTCAGTGTGTTAGGACATTGTATAGGACATTGGTCAGTAAGGTGGTGTGTTAGGACATTGTATAGGACATTCGTCATTATGAGACTGTGTTCGGATACAAGGTATCAAATCCTGAAAGGTTCATTGTAGGACAATAGATAGCTAGAAGCGACATTCTATTGAATGCTAATATAAGCTAAAAGGTATACAACTATAGCATAACATAGCACAATTATAACTTACCCCACACACATCACACAATTATAACTTACCCCACACACATCACACACATCACAAAATTATAACTTAATCCACACACATCACACACATCACACAATTTTAACACCCCACTTCACATGATTGTATCACACCCCATACTCTCCAATCACGCAATTAAAACCCATCCCACTTTTCCCAATCACATGATTGTAGAACACAACACTCCCCAATCACTACACAACACGCCCCAATCACTACACAACACGCCCCAATCACTTCACAACACGCCCCAATCATAACACCCCCAATCACTACACAACACTCCCCAATCACTACACAACACTCCCCAATCACTACATAACACTCCCCAATCACTACACAACACGCCCCAATCATAACACCCCCAATCACTACACAACACTCCCCAATCATAACACCCCCAATCACCCCCAATCACCACAAAACACTCCCCAATCACTACACAACACTCCCCAATCACTACACAACACTCCCAAATCACTACACAACACGCCCCAATCACTACACAACACGCCCCAATCATAACACCCCCAATCACTACAAAACACTCCCCAATCATAACACCCCCAATCACCACAAAACACTCCCCAATCACTACACAACACTCCCCAATCACTACACAACACTCCCAAATCACTACACAACACTCCCCAATCACTACACAACACTCCCCAATTACTACACAACACTCCCCAATCACTACACAACACTCCCCAATCACTACACAACACTACCTAATCATTCAACCACCACCAACTCTCTGTCCATGAGTTTCAAGAATTTAATGGTGTCACTCTTAATTGGGGGGGGGGGGGGGGGGGGTTGAGATTTAAAATTATTCTATCACATATGACGGTGAGAACGGTAAAAAGGTAAAATTCGTAAAAAAAAAGGGAAGACCTTAGGTACAACTGTCTGTCATTGGGTTGATCAAGCATTTAGTTTCTAACATGATTTGTTGTCGATCAAATTTTTGTTTTACATTATTGACTTTATCAAATGGCATTATTGCCATTATTCCATGACAATTAGTACCAGAGCAAAATTAGAATTTTATCTGAGTTAAAAGTATTAGAAAACCAGCAAGTAAGTAGCGAAAAGTTGTGTGTTATATATATATATATATATATATATATATATATATATATATATATATATATATATATATATATATATATATATATATATATATATATATATATATACATATATATTTATATATATATATATATATATATATATATATATATATATATATATATATATATATATATATATATATATATATATATATATATATATATATATATAAATTGATATGAGATTATTGGCCTATAATGTGGAAACCCGTACCCAAGAACGACGGGCAGACTGCTAGTATTAAACAAAGCTGTTTCCTAGTAATGGCCCCCTCCTCCATCCCACCCCGCCCCTTCCTCAGGCAGGTTGATAATTCGGTCAAGCGCCATTATTGATAAGAGATTTTCGAAATGGAGCAGACACAGAAACCCCTATCTCTCCCCCACCCCACTGCTGTGGTAGAACCCGTATGTCGCTTAGCCTCGTTCTCGCCCAAAAAGCTACTCTTTTTATGAGCTACCATTTAACATGTTTGTTATTGAATATTGAATAATTGAAGTAGTTAAAAATTTATTGACGCATAAATTGCGATGTATTAATTGGCTTTTAGAAAAAAAATAGACTATGTAATGATGAAAGAATATATCAATCTGATGAAATCTGTGGCGTAAGCAAGACGGGTGTTACGGGGCTAGAGCCCCCCCCCTCCCGCCATAGACACCCAAAACAAACATTTTTTTCATGAATCTCTCCAGCGAGGGGAGGGCACTGCCCCTCAGGAGAACCCCCCCCCCCCTCTTCCTTCTCGCACTCCCCGGTCAAAATAGAAAATTTTAAAAAATTTAATAGAAAACAAAATATAAATTAACCATTGTACCTTTCCTCCCGGAAATTTAAAGTGCCCCCACCCCTCCCTGCTCGAAGAAAAATGTCAGAAAAAAATCCTAACTAACAAGGTTTCAGAATAGAGGAAAGCGAAAGTTTTTTTTTCCCCTTTATAGTGCGAATGAACTACATGTTATAATTTTTAACGCACTATATCTAAAATACGGTTAGGGTTCAGTTTCGGGTTAAGTTTCACTTTAATGTTACAAAACAAATAATAATGATATTTATCAGAGTTTAAGATTAAGAATTTAAAGTCTTAGCTTATTTGGTCATACACGCCTACATGTTATATAGGAGTTTTTGTTTTTACTTTAGAGTTTTTGTTCATTGTAGAGAAAATAGACAAATGTAGTTACTTACTCTAAGCTGTAAACGGTGGTTATTTCTGGGATTTAATGACCGAAGCAGTCACAGCATTAGTCCTAAACCTACTGCACTAACCTAAACCTTAACCGTAACTCTAGGACTGTAATCCTTATCAGATTCTTAAACAGTCATACATGTCTGGCATCATGTCTGGCATCATGTCTGGCATCATGTCTGGCATCATGTCTGGCATCATGTCTGGCATCATGTCTGGCATCATGTCTGGCATCATGTCTGGCATCATGTCTGGTATCATGTCTGGCATCATGTCTGGCATCATGTCTGGCATCATGTCTGGTATCATGTCTGGCATCATGTCTGGCATCATGTCTGGCATCATGTCTGGCATCATGTCTGGCATCATGTCTGGCATCATGTCTGGCATCATGTCTGGCATCATGTCTGGCATCATGTCTGGCATCATGTCTGGCATCATGTCTGGTATCATGTCTGGCATCATGTCTGGCATCATGTCTGGCATCATGTCTGGCATCATGTCTGGCATCATGTCTGGCATCATGTCTAGCATCATGTCTGGCATCATGTCTGGCATCATGTCTGGCATCATGTCTGGCATCATGTCTGGCATCATGTCTGGCATCATGTCTGGCATCATGTCTGGCATCATGTCTGGTATCATGTCTGGCATCATGTCTGGCATCATGTCTGGCATCATGTCTGGCATCATGTCTGGCATCATGTCTGGCATCATGTCTGGTATCATGTCTGGCATCATGTCTGGCATCATGTCTGGCATCATGTCTGGCATCATGTCTGGCATCATGTCTGGCATCATGTCTGGCATCATGTCTGGCATCATGTCTGGCATCATGTCTGGCATCATGTCTGGCATCATGTCTGGCATCATGTCTGGCATCATGTCTGGCATCATGTCTGGCATCATGTCTGGCATCATGTCTGGTATCATGTCTGGCATCATGTCTGGCATCATGTCTGGCATCATGTCTGGCATCATGTCTGGCATCATGTCTGGCATCATGTCTGGCATCATGTCTGGCATCATGTCTGGCATCATGTAACTGTTATGGGCCCGAGCAACATGTCACATTACCTTTTTCGCGCACATTTTTTTAAAAACGAAACACAAAACAAATCACAACAAACCATAACACAACATCCCCAAGTGTATCCCCAACACAAACAGACAGACACACACACACACACACACCAAACACAATCATCTCTGCCTACAAAACACACGACCATTCCTACCTACACACGACCATTTCTACCTATAATACTCACGACCATTTCTTCCCACTACTTACAATACACACGACCATTTCTACCCACAATACACACGACCATTCCTACCTACACACGACCATTTCTACCTATAATACTCACGACCATTTCTTCCCACTACCTACAATACACACGACCATTTCTACCCACTACCTACAATACACACGACCATTTCTACCCACTACCTACAATACACACGACCATTTCTACCTACAATGCACACGACCATTTCTACCTACAATACACGCGACCATTTCTACCCACTACCTACAATACACATGACCATTTCTACCTACTGCCTACTATAAAAAGACCATTTCTACCTACACACGACCATTTCTACCCACTGCCTACAATACACACGACCATTTCTACCTACTGCCTACAATACACACGACCATTTCTACCTACAATACACACGACCATTTCTACCCACTACCTACAATACACACGACCATTTCTACCCACTGCCTACAATACACACGACCATTTCTACCTACAATACACACGACCATTTCTACCCACTACCTACAATACACACGACCATTTCTACCTACAATACACACGACCATTTCTACCCACTACCTACAATACACACGACCATTTCTACCCACTACCTACAATACACACGACCATTTCTACCAACAATACACACGACCATTTCTACCCACTACCAACAATACACACGACCATTTCTACCCACTGCCTACAATACACACGACCATTTCTACCTACAATACACACGACCATTTCTACCCACTACCTACAATACACACGACCATTTCTACCTACAATACACACGACCATTTCTACCCACTACCTACAATACACACGACCATTTCTACCCACTGCCTACAATACACACGACCATTTCTACCTACAATACACACGACCATTTCTACCCACTACCTACAATACACACGACCATTTCTACCCACTACCTACAATACACACGACCATTTCTACCAACAATACACATGACCATTTCTACCTACAATACACACGACCATTTCTACCCACTGCCTACAATACACACGACCATTTCTACCTACAATACACACGACCATTTCTACCCACTGCCTACAATACACACGACCATTTCTACCCACTACCTACAATACACACGACCATTTCTACCCACTGCCTACAATACACACGACCATTTCTACCCACTACCTACAATACACATGACCATTTCTACCCACTGTCTACAATACACACGATCATTTCTACCTACAATACACACGACCATTTCTACCCACTACCTACAATACACACGACCATTTCTACCTACAATACACACGACCATTTCTACCCACTACCTACAATACACACGACCATTTCTACCCACTGTCTACAATACACACGACCATTTCTACCTACAATACACACGACCATTTCTACCTACAATACACACGACCATTTCTACCCACTACCTACAATACACATGACCATTTCTACCCACTGTCTACAATACACACGATCATTTCTACCTACAATACACACGACCATTTCTACCTACAATACACACGACCATTTCTACCTACAATACACACGACCATTTCTACCTACAATACACACAACCATTTCTACCTACAATACACACGACCATTTCTACCCACTGCCTACAATACACACGACCATTTCTACCTACAATACACACGACCATTTCTACCCACTGCCTACAATACACACGACCATTTCTACCTACAATACACACGACCATTTCTACCTACAATACACACGACCATTTCTACCTACAATACACACGACCATTTCTACCCACTACCTACAATACACACGACCATTTCTACCTACAATACACACGACCATTTCTACCTACAATATACTCGACCATTTCTACCCACTGCCTACAATACACACGACCATTTCTAGCCACTGCCTACAATACACACGACCATTTCTAGCCACTGCCTACAATACACACGACCATTTCTACCCACTACCTACAATACACACGACCATTTCTACCCACTACCTACAATACACACGACCATTTCTACCCACTACCATTTCTACCCACTGCCTACAATACACACGACCATTTCTACCCACTGCCTACAATACGCACGACCATTTCTACCCACTGCCTATAATGGCACCTATTTCTGGCACCGGTCGATGAATACCAGAGTCGCAAATCGCCCAGCATCAACGTGCACAGCAACCCAACCCCACACAACAAGCCAGCTCAAATAAATACCCCCACACCACCCCCACATCCACCCCACCCCCTACACACACTGACCCTACAATCTCCGCATTCCAAAATCTAATAATAAACCACCCGTCCAATTCTATTTTTAACATATTTACTCAACTTTTCTAAAAATAGAACTGCTTCTATTTTTAAGTACTTAAATGTCTTAAATATCCTTTTTTGTGTCTTTTTAAGCTTTAAGACAAACAGTTTAATTGTTACGAAAATAATACGTTTTTTGTTTTGTCATTTAATAATAAACAGGTTGCCAAGGGACATGTTAAAAATAATAAATTAGAGCTACACTTTAAAAAAATAATTAAAATAAAATAAAAAAATTAGAACTTTTCTTAACGAAAATACTTAAATTTAATCTATGTAAACAGACTTCCATGATTAGTTTGATTTAATTAGCGATTTAAAAACGCCTCATTTCCGAGGCGAGCGGGACAGCTGGCATGCTTTATGTCACACGATTGAGGCCAGACTGCTCACACACTCGGCGCGAGGCGCCGGCCAGCCCGTGACGTCATTCCGTTGCGCAGCTCCGATTGGCTGAAAGGAAATCGATTTCATTACGTCGTAAAGTGTGTTTTTAGTTGTGAAATTGTTACTGCTACTGTCAGGGATGTTTTTGGGTAAGTTTTAAAATGTATTTTGCTACGAGCACTGTCAAGTAGCTGAATTGAATTTGATTGGACAAGCATACTTTAGAACCAGTGTTTCTTTCAGGCATCTGTCAGATGGAGGCGGATGCGTGTGACTGCCCTCATCTCTTATCTCGACCATTGACTATCCCCCCCCCCCGCCACGATGAAATAAAAAAAAAACCTATACCCATTGTCAACCACCTTCCCCGAAAGTTTCAAGTGCCCCCCCCCCCCCCTCCCTCCTCCTGGTGCCTAGAAGTCTGAAAGAAACCCAGATTTGAAAGAAAACCACATCATACACACATGCATACAGAGCCAGGCTTGAGCGCGAATCTAATAGCACACCGCATAAGCTCAATTAAAAACATCTTCAGATGTATAAATGATACATTTGTAGTATAACCTAATATTTAATGTTAAAAAGCACTTCGGGCCGGTGTGGTCGTATAGTAGAGCTCACGACTACTAACTAGCCCAATAGTGCTTTATCTAATCATCCCTCCTTTTATGATTGAATAATTTAAAAGTTAATTTGACTCTCTATTTAGATTAAAATTGTGAAATCTAAGCCGGCCGCCATACAAAGTGTATTTTCAATTAGTCAATTATTATTAATAAGTTAATTAATTATTCACCACTTTAGTTCTAAGATCGAATTGTGGATAAGATGAAGGAGCTTATCAAATGCAAATCGAGCAAAATAAATATCCTGTTTGCATCTCTCCTATATTTAATAAATACAACATCTTCGGTCAACACACATCTACATCTGTTTTGTGCATCCAAACTTTTATCAAAAAAAAAAAAAGAATCCACAATGAAAAACGAAGTCACTTTTACAAAAAAATTTCTAAATTCTCAAAATGTGTCACCTGTACATAGATCTGCCTTGCCTTCTTAAAATTATAAAACCACCCACCCATCCCTAAAGCGTCAACATCATTGGTGACTTAACTACACGTGCTCAATTAAAACCTATGAAACATTGAACAGTGTTTAACATTTATATTTTTACGTTTAATTAAAGCTTAATCTTTTTTGTTATATAATATGTAAATATTAAATAAGAAAGATATATTCTTCCTTAATTGTAATGTTGGATGTGATTTCCTTATATACAATTGAGTATTACATGTCAACATGTTATGCTCATAATGCTTGTTGACAGTTGCGTCGTTAGGTCGGGTGTTAATTTATTACTAATGATATTTATCTATACTCAGTTGTTAATACAGCTGGATGTAGCATCCTTTTTTTCTTTAGTTTGCATGTTGAAGTCAATGTGCCACCCCCCCCCCCCCCACTCCCTTCCTTGTCGAAATCGTCATTATGTACTTAAAATGCTGTTTTAGCTCAAATAAACCATTCATTAAACTGGCAAAAATTTTTTTTATTCTGTTTATCTTGCAGTTTTGGTTTTGTTGGCGTCACCACCTGAATGGTGTCAGCCGGAGCTATCCGCCCCCGCCTGGCTACGCCTCTACTCGCTGACTCCCATTTCAGTTTGCTGCTTAGGGGTCATCCATGAATGACGTCACACTTTATTTTTTACGATTTTTACCTCCCCTCCGTCACACGTCGTCACAAAAAGCCAGACCCCCCCCCCCCTAAAATGACGTCACACCTCAGCCTACAACCCCCCCCCCCCCCTCAAAATTGCTTTTGAATTTTTCTTAAAATATCGATATTTTTCAAAATTTTGTCAGAACTCTGTCAACATAGAGTATTTGTTTAATTTCTGTTACAATTTATTAAAACGGTTTTTCTAAAACGCGAAAGAACGGCTAAAGCTCGTTTTCTAACATTGCTTTTTTATAATGAAAAAAAGTGACGTTACATCATCTAACCCCCCCCCCCTCCCCCTCATCACACACCGTCATAAAATTACGGACCCCCTCTCTCCCTAGAGTGTGACGTCATTTACGGACGACCCCCTTATTTTCTGGGTTTGCTTCCCTAGCCTTTGTCCAACCAAGAACAAACTACAATGCAGCAGTTGCTTTATTTTGGAATTTTCTCATCTGCCTCATGAGCCTCATCTACCCGGGGGTTTGAACTCACGACTTTTTGGTTTAGCTACCATGCGCTTTACCGACTCGACCACGCGATTCTTATCTGCTTTAGAGTACTTCTTTGGGAACACGCAAGAATCACATTATGTAGCAGTAACAATGTGGTGTATCTCACGATGGGAGTGTCACTGAGCACGCACACGGCCGCCACTGTCCTCGGCGAGTTGTAGGACGCGCGAGTTACCGGTGGTATTTTGGGACCGAGGAAAAAAAAACCCTCCGAGTTTTTTATTTAACTCGCTCACTCTCTAGGCGAGATCGGCCTCTCTGTGAGGGAACCCAGTCCTCCCAGCGTCCTAGCTCGCGCTGTGCGTGTGTGTGTGTGTTCAGTGACGTCATGTAGGACACCTTCGGATAAACATTTTGGGTTTTCTGTGCGGGGTGGTGTTGTGTTTTTTTTTTTAGAAAATGTGTGCGAGTTGGATTTAGCATACCGCGAAACGTTCCGATGTGATTTAGGAGAAGCTTTTCGTTTCTGATGGTGATTTCGGCGTTAGGATGTATTAGCTGGAAAGCTGTTTTAGAACTAACCAATGGAGCTCAGTCGACGATGTGTTTTTTTTCCTTAGCCAATTTTCTATAGGCCTTATTGGATTCAATGATAGGTCCTCTTGGAGTAAAGCCTAGCTCTGCATTTAACATCGTTGAATTGTAAGTTGGGTTAGATTTTTGTTTATTAATTATCAAATTAAATTTATTAAGGGTTACAAGCTGGATATGGTTTAGATTAGGGTTTCATAGTTTCGGGGTCGACTCAGTATTCTCAAATTTGACGCATCCACATAATGAGCAGATTCCGTCTTCGTTGCGGATCTTGGCGTACGCTCAAGAAGACTCGCATAATGGAACCAGAATTAGCTAGCCCGGCATCGGGAAAAAAAAATAGTTCATTATATTTTAATACCATCCGTATTTGCGCGATACAAATCCCCCCTCCCCCCACACTACAACCGCTCGCTCACCCACCCGCCACTGTGCTGTGTGGATGTTCGATCCGACCAAACTATTGATAAAGGCGTCAGGAGAAGGGAACCCTTCGAGATACTGATCGATAAACGTCGCTGGTTCAACCGCCTTGCCTCCCCTTGGTCGGCCGAGTTCAGGCAAATCGATAGGCAGAATGTGATTAACTTTTTCTAGCAGGCTACACACGCGGACACGCTCTTACACACACACGGACACGCTCTTACACACACGGACACGCTCTTACACACACGGACACGCTCTTACACACACGGACACGCTCTTACACACACGGACACGCTCTTACACACACGGACACGCTCTTACACGCTCTTACACACACGGACACGCTCTTACACGCTCTTACACACACGGACACGCTCTTACACACATGGACACGCAAACACAGACACACTCTTACACACACAGGCTACACACACGGACACGCTCTTACACACACACGGACACGCTCTTACACACACACGGACACGCTCTTACACACACACGGACACGCTCTTACACACACACGGACACGCTCTTACACACACGGACACGCTCTTACACGCTCTTACACGCTCTTACACGCTCTTACACGCTCTTACACACACAGACACGCTCTTACACACAGACACGCTCTTACACACACGGACACGCTCTTACACACACACGGACACGCTCTTACACACACACACGGACACGCTCTTACATGCTCTTACACACACAGGCACGCTCTTAAACGCTCTTACACACACGGACACGCTCTTATACACACAGACACGCTCTTACACACACAGACACGCTCTTACACACACAGACAGACACGCTCTTACACACTGACACGCTCTTACACACACAGACACGCTCTTACACACACAGACACGCTCTGACACACATAGACACGCTCTTACACATACAGACAGACACGCTCTTACACGCTCTTACACACAGACACGCTCTTACACACACACAGACACGCTCTTACACACACAGACAGACACGCTCTTACACACACGGAAACACTCTTACACACCCTTACACACCCTTACACACACAGACACGCTCTTACACGCTCTTGCACACAGACACTCTCTTACACACAGACACGCTCTTACACACCAAGACAGACTCTTACACACTCAGACACGCTCTTACTGTTCTCGTTTTGAGCGGGTAAAATACAATGTATAAATCAAATGTCCGTGTATAGCATGTAAAATAAATGTATAAAGTAAATATCCGCGTCTTTAGCTGGTAGAATACATCGTATCAAGGAAATGTCCGATTCTTTATGTAGTAAAATACAATGAATAAAACAAATGACCACTTCTTAAGTTAGTAAAATAAAGTGAAAAACGTAAATCTCTCAATTTGCTTGTAAAATACAATGCTTAGCAAATATTCGATTCTTTACGTGATAAAATATAACGAATAACGTTAATTTCCCCTTAGCTGGTAAAATACATTAAAAACCGCAAATATCCGCTTCTTATGTGGTAAATAATGTCGAATACATTATGTAAATGGCTATTTCTCATACGCTGTAAAATATAAAAGCACATCAAAAGTCCGACTTCATTAGGTAGTGAAATACAATCTATATAACTCATGCTTATTTGTGTGAAAAAACACCCTTAAGAAAAACAAATATATAATTTTCGAAAAAATCCAATAGCCCTTTTCTATAAAAGACAAAATCGTTTGAAAGATTTCTGATTATTATCTAATAAAAATACGATAAACTAACACACATTTATCTGATGTGTTTCAAAAAAAGCTAAATATATTACAAATATTAGCTGTAGTTAAACTAATTTAGGATATACTATTGTGGAAAAAATTAAAAAGATGAAGCTAATAAAAATGTCACATAAAGAAATGATAACATCACAAATGGCCTATTCATTTTACCAAGGGGTCACCCATGAACGACGCCACGTTTTACCCCACTTGCCAATCGTCACACACCGTCACACATCGTCACACGTCGTAACAAAAAACGGACACCCTCTAAAACGACGTCACACTTCAGCCTACAAAGCCTTTTAACTCAACATTGTAGGAATTCTAACATTACTTCTTAAAATACCAAAGTGTGTCGCCCCCCCCATACATATCGTCACTTGTGTCCGACCTCCCGACCCCCCCCCCCCCACCCCCTGTGAGTGTGGCATCGTTTATGGACAATTCACAGGAATCAATACGGGCCTGAGACACCGTCAATAAATTAAGGAAACATTTGGGTAGTTTCCCTTCTAGTAACAAGTATGAAAAAGGGAAACGTAAGGGCCCGTAACCATTCTAATTGTGTTTGTTTTTCATTGAAATTAAAAACTGCAATCCAAAGGTAAAAAAATGTAGGCAAAAATTCGCATTTAGATTCAGTTTAAGCAGACTTTAAATTCAGCTCAATGTTTTTGCCTTTTAATACATATATATATTTATTCGCTATAGTTATAAGTATTGCAAAAAGCTGTAAGTATCTGTATTTACTCATTCTACGTATTTGTGTTAAATTAATTAACGAATGATTGGCAACCGCTTTGTTTGTTATAACATTATTTTTAAACATTACACCTTTAAACAAAAAAACATTAAATAACGTGTTTTATAAAAATCTTCCATCATCGACTTTTATAAAACTTTTCAAGCTTGCTGACACTTTAGGTAATGAACATTTACACGTTTTTTATTTAGAAAATTTTTGTTTATAAAAAAAAAAATACAAATATTCAAAATGTCTGACTTGCTAAAATAGCCAGAATGTTAAATTCCGAATTTACTACAATGCCCAGTTGGTAAAAATGCCATATTTATATCAATGAATGCCCAATTTTTATATGCCCAGTTTGTTGAAATGACTATTTAGCTAAAAAGCCTAATTTGATAAAAAAAACTTATTTATTAAAATGCCTAATTGTTAAAATGTCTTATTTATTAAAATGCCTGATTTCTTAAATTTCCCAATTTGATAATTTGTTAAAATTACCAATTTGCTAAAAAAGCTTATTTGTTAAATTTCCCAATTTATTAAAATTTCAAATTTGTTAAAATGCCTAATTTGTTAAAATGCCTACTTTCTTAAAATTCCCATTTTGTTAACATTCCCAATTTCTTACAATGCATACTTTGTTAAAAAAACTTCCAATTTGTTAAAATTCCCAATTTGTTAAATCGCCTACTTTCTTAAAATTCCCAATTTGTTAATATTCCCAATTTGTTAAAATTCCCAATTTATTCAAATGCCTACTTTCTTTAAATTCCCACTTGGTTCAAATGCCTACTTCCTTTAAATTCCCAATTGGTTCAAATGCCTACTTTCTTTATATTCCCATTTGGTTCAAATGCCTACTTTGTCGCCCAGGTACCCCAGCATCAGACATGAGGCGGAGGTCTAAGTTGAAAGCTGGGCACGTAGCAATGAACAATCTACCCCACTACTCGCCACCAAGCCTTTCCAACTCCGTGAAAAAATATTCTCTTTGGATTCTTAAAGGATTGTGGATTACCAGTGGATAACTCATCGTGGATATATTTTTTATGGATAACTAAACGAAACCGGAAGTCATTTTTTTTCCTCTCTGTCGCAGGAGAGTAGAAAAAAAAAATTTGATCGTCTGCCAGGCGGACGCAGGAGGATTCGATCCCCTTCTCTGAGGAGAAGTGGAACGACCGAACCGGCACCATTGCTAGCACAATGACCTCCCGGCGCCCCTCCCTCCCTCCCATGCCTGACCTCAGCCACCTGACGGAGGACGAGAGGAAGGTCATTGAGGACGTCCTGCGGCGCCAGAGGGAGGAGGAGGAGAAAGAGCATGAGGTCATCAGGTCAGTGAACTCATTTTTTTTCACGTTCAGTAGGTCAGGTCGCGAATCTAGGTCAAAGGTCATCGGGAAAGGGGGGAGGTAAACAGGTCGTGATGCAACCTGATGCCAAACGTAAAGCTACACCCGGGTGTCATTAATTAAAATCAATTAATTGAAACATTCATTAAGGGAAACTACTGTCACTACTACAAACGTAGTTTTACAAATGTAGCTTCAACGTTGTAGGTCAAAGTAGTACGGTCGTCAAGTATGTTAGTAGTTATATATACACACATATATATATATATATATATATATATATATATATATATATATATATATATATATATATATATATATATATATATATATATATATATATATATATGTACCTTAATACCTGTGTATATATGTGTGCAGTCTGCGATTTGAGCATGTTGAAATGCTGTGAAGTATATTTATGTCCACATTTTTTTGTATACTACAAAACGTAGTTTACCATTGATTGTTGACCAATTTTAGTGTGACAGAAAATGTTTGTCGACAACACTTTGGTCATTTGACCACCTTTAACATGAAAACCCCCCCTCACCCAATTAACACCATTATCTTTACACCCTGCTAGGCTATAGGTTAACTACCCACGTTATGATACGCATCAGCTAAACCTGAGGGGGGTGGGGGTCGATTTCAGCGTAGATCAGTGTCATAGGGACCTCTCGGGAGGGTTGTAAACAATACAGGCTGAGTCATAGGTCAAGAGGTCATCTGTCCACCTCACGAGGCTAATTCCCTTCTGCGCGTGACGGAATCGCGCGTAATACGTCGCGGGGTGGAGATGACGTCACAAATCACGTGATGGTAGTAGGGTCAATCACGGAGGGTGGATGCTTTGGGGGAGGGGGGGGGGGGAGTTAAAAAACAACCGGAAGTTGTGGGTGTAAAAACATGAATGCAATAATGACCAGTCGAAATAGAAGAAATATAAAGTACGCGACATAATTAACACATTCAATAAAAAAAATCCACACATTTCAGCTCTATATTTGAATGACATTGTTACGACCCCAAGTGAACTTTACCTGGGTTTGGTCCCATCGAGGAGGGCCAGGTAATTAAAATGAAATGCTTAGGCATGTTAATGCACTGGCCAGCACAGGCCGTGAGAACCTTTGGGCCGTGACGGCCACACCGGATTGGTTACCACGCTGTGGGCGATGCATACCTGGTGTCTTGGGGTCCGAGCTATTAACGTGGCCAAGAACTCGTGATTTACGGTTGGGAAAACCTTCCAGATCGCACAGGGCCGAGATGGACGGTCATGTCCTGACCTGACCTGACCTAGGGGTCAGGCTCGATTAACAAGGTTCCCACACTAGCGAGGGACGACTTGAGTACTTTAGGAGGGTAGACCGGAGACTAGGGGGACTCTCTCGACAGACACTCGGGACACACACACGGAGACGGACGGACGTCTCGGATAGCTAGGTTTAGAGGAGACAGACATGGGATCGTCTCTGTGAGCTAGTGGAAAGCCACGACATGTTTTAGACTTAGGCTAGGCTAGACGGTTAGGGACAAGTAGGGTAGTCGTACTAAGTACTTTAGTTGTTGTAGATAGTTGTGTATTTTTCCTATTGTGTTCCATGTGGTGGCGGGTTAATGTTAGATGTTGTATTTTGTGGCGAATAAATAGAGATTACTGAAGTTGGCATTTATTTATTTTTATTTTTCTTTTTCTTGTTTACGATCCCCTGACTAGTTCGAAAGGATTAGAGAAGAGGGTGCGTAACAATTGGCGGCTAGAGTCCGGGATAGGACAGACAACGAGTTGAATAGTTTCTTTTGATGCCATTTTCAGTTGGGGGCTCACGAGCTTGTGTTTTAGTTTTAAGTTTTATGAGTAGTGAGATAAAGTTGTTCACGGAATCAGGAGAGTTTTCCAAACATTGAGTAAGTAGCGAGCTTATCACCTTTGTATTGACACTGAGTTTATTTTGCTTGATTGTTATGTTGGTCCAGTAGAGCTGGAATTTTTATTTTTATTCAGTATAGCTGGAGGGATTAATGCCCAGTATACTTGAATGTTTTGTTTGGTCCAGTGGAACTGGAGTGTTCGGGTTTATTCAGTACAGCTGGAGGGTCATTCCCAGGTACGTGAATAAATTCGTAATTTTTGTTTGGTTTGCTCAGTATAGCTGGAGGGTCAATTCCCAGTATACGTGAGTTAATCGTTTGTGGTCCAGTATAACTGGATATTTAGTTTGGTTGGCCCAGTATAGCTGGTGTCTACCTGTTTCAAGTGTCAAAGGTGATAGCCCTACTTTTAATGTTTAAGTTAAAGTGTTTGTTGTAAGCCACATTTTCTTAGTTAACCGCCACCATTTAGCTGGATAAGTTTTGTAAGTGTGAATCATGGACGTAATGAGTTTTATTGAGTGTCCAACTCTAGAAGTTTTAGACAGGTTTTGTCGCTTAGAGTTGTTGACTCTAGTTGAGGAGCTAGGACTAGAGGTTGATGTGTCGGATAGAGATAGAGTTCTACGAGATCATATTTGTGTTGAGTTAGTGAATACAGGTAGATTAGAGGAGGAGTGTCTAGACTCGATAGAATATTATGAGATCGGACGTATTAGGGTTGAAGAAATTGAGAGAAAGTTTCAAGCTAAGTTGTTAGAGATCGCGAGAGAAAAAGAGGAGAAGTTGTTAGAGATCAGGAGGGATATATTCATGTCAGAATCTTGGAAGGAAATTAACATTAAAAGTTTAGAGAAACTGTTCGGACATGAAGTTAAACTATTAGAGATCAGGAGGGAACGGGATTTACTTAGGCTATGGGAGGAGGCGCAGCTTAGTGGGTTGTTTGACTTTCCAGAATCTGTCTCTGTTTTCTCTCAGGCTAGTGTAGTAGTTTCCGAGGATCGGTATAGAGATGAAGATAGTTTGTTGTCTGATAGAGTAGGTAGTGAGTTTTGTCAGTCTCAGACTAAGGCTGCCACTAGCTTTGGCTCAGTCCCTGAAGTCGACTCTAACCTAGCAGAATCAGCACAAACGTCAAAACGTGCTGATAGCTTACGAGTCGAGAGTTGTGTGCCGACAAGTACTGAAGGCAGTCAGCAAGTTATTGGTTTAGATAAAATCACGGCGACCACTCTAATGTTGACCAGTCATGAAAAGGGGCTGTCAATATCTGACCCAGTGGATACAACCACCGATGATATCACGGCGACCACTCTGTTATTGGCCAGTCATGAAAAGGGGCTGTCAATATCTGACCCAGTGGATACAACCACCGATGATATAACGGCAACCACTCTGATGTTGACCAGTCATGAAAAGGGGCAGTCAATATCAGAACCAGTGGTTACAACCACCGCTGAAATCACGGTAACCACCGAGAGAGTGAATACCCATGAGAACAGGCTGTCCTCGTCTGAACCTGAACCAGTAACTGTATCTGATCAAGACCTTACTACTTGTGGTCTTGAAGGCGTCATGACCTTAACTGGAGGTCATGTGAATGGTGACCCACATCTTCAATTAGATGAGTCAATGAATCTTTTGCCAGTATCAGTAATGGACGGAATCGTTACCCATTGTCTTGGAGGCGAGCCTAACACGGGCTGTCCTCCCATGATCCCAGCAGTATTTGATTTCTCCCCGACCAAGTCCAGCAACCTGGAGGCCATGACCTCACCTGGAGGTCACGTGGATGGTGTTCTACACCCAGAGATCGTGGAGACGGTGAATCTTTTGTCAACGTCGGTGACAAGCGTAGTTGTTACCTCTTGTTTAGGAGTTGAGCCTAACTCAGGCTTCCCTCCCCTTATCACGGAGGTGATTTATTGTTCTCTGACCGACCCGGTCAAGACCAACCACCTGGAGACGGTGACCTCAGCGGGACACGCTACTTCCTTCAACCGAGGGTGCGTACAAGCGAGCGCACACCCCATTGCTTTCAGGGAGACGCAGCGTGTAATCGTTCCCTCTTTGTGTGACTCGGTGTTCAGGATTAACATCGTGTCAAAACATGGCATTCCTGCAAGCAGTCCTGTGAAACCACGCCTTATGTGCGAGTTGTTGTTGTTGTGGACGGACAATAACTCCGTCACTAAAATTGTGCTGCGCCGGTATAAAGTTCGGCTTAAGTTTTATGTTTACGGACTCATGATGACCCGCAAGACGGAAAACTAATTTGTGTTTCAAACCTATTAGAACTGTTCCCAAGATAGACTGTTTCATATTTTCCCAGGATGCAAGTGTTCTAATCAAAATGAACTATTTTCAGGCTTAAAGAATGTACCCTTTTACATGTCTTGTTTGAAAAAAAAAATTTGTTATTGATGTTTTACATGATGATGAATTCGTGACAGTTTTTAATTGTATTGACAGGTTTTGTTGACTGATGACGTAACTATCAGTAAAACGAAGACTGTTGGTTTCAGCATTGAGATTATTTGCGACAGTGACATATGTGTTGCAGATTTGCGGTTTTAATTACTTTGATGTCTATGTTTGATGACATTGTGTTTGGGGTATTTAGTCAAACTTGTTATTGTGACTAAATCATCCACGTTTCTTATCTTTTTAGTAATGATTATGTTAAATGGATTTAGTCCCATTTAGGTTTATTCTGGGACTTTTGAGGAATTGTGAGATTGGTATGGTTGTCTAGTAAGAGATGTTCAATTAATTCACCATGTGGTGGCGAATTAATTTCTTGAAGGGTGGGGGTGTTACGACCCCAAGTGAACTTTACCTGGGTTTGGTCCCATCGAGGAGGGCCAGGTAATTAAAATGAAATGCTTAGGCATGTTAATGCACTGGCCAGCACAGGCCGTGAGAACCTTTGGGCCGTGACGGCCACACCGGATTGGTTACCACGCTGTGGGCGATGCATACCTGGTGTCTTGGGGTCCGAGCTATTAACGTGGCCAAGAACTCGTGATTTACGGTTGGGAAAACCTTCCAGATCGCACAGGGCCGAGATGGACGGTCATGTCCTGACCTGACCTGACCTA